GCATAGAAATAGAGGGTCTAAGCATAATAAAATTTTAAGTAATTATAAAAAACAACAACAAAAAAAATTTTAGCAGGAAAATTTGCCTGCATTACGGTTTAAGAGATAATTCATGAGAATAGAACTTTTTTTAATCAAATATAATGATAAGAAATTTTTTCATTCACATGCATATTGTTCTATATGATTTTCTGAAGGCTATTTTGACAATCTTATTATTAGAAAAATTTTTTACTCCAAATATGGTTGGTAAATACTGTTAGTAAATTCTATAAAAGAAAAAGAAAACTAGATTTACTTATTTAGACTGGTAATATAATAATAAGGCCAAAGAAGGAAACTAAACCAAAGAACATATGAAACGTTGCATCAATTGTTGATATATGAGAATAATCTAATATTAATAGAATATCAAGTTAAAAAATTACAATTGGAACTTATACCAGTTAAGATTAGTTTTACTATTCTATTCTGTTTTTATTTAGTTATTATCTACATTCATTCTAATTCTAATTAATATATATAATTTAACATACATATTTGAGAGCAAAATATATTGAATTTTGTGAATTTGAAATCCATTTAGATGAATTCTGAATCTAATTAAGTGGATTTCAAATCACAAATAACTTGGGTGAAAATGGAGTTTTAAAAACAGATAAGTGAACAAATTTAAAATACAAAATAGTTTGAAATACTAATAATCCTCGTTAATATCAACTTTGTTAACACCAACCTAAACTACTAAACAAATTTTTATAAATTTTTATATATTAAAATTCCCTCAAATATATCAACTTTCAATATAATTTCTCGTTAATATCATTATCAACATGGATTCAAAATCAATCCAAATAAGTTGATATTAACGAGGATTATTTGCATTGTATGATTAAGCGCCTGCTTTAAAAGTAGTTAGTAGCATATCTATAATTTTACAAATAAAAAAAAGAAAAAAAGATATTTTGAAATGCCATTAGACGAAGTTTCTGATAATATAGATGATAATGTGCGTTTTTCAATAGCAATAAGGAATCTTGCCAAACTTAGGACTACAGTATTGCAGACTAGATTGTGTACTTGTTCTTTTGAGATTTAGACATGGAAATTAATACTATATATATGATGAGTTACGCCTACGTCGATTTTCTCTATAGACTATTTAACCGACATTAGACAGGTAGCAATTTACTAATGATATGTACCATGTAACGCCCAGAATTGGGAGAGCAATAATGAGCATTTGCGGTTTAGCATTGAGTATAAATCATACGGTATGAGTGCTTTACTAAGGGATTCGGGATTAAAAATAGTTGAACTTTAAGGAACTATAATCATTATGTTTATCGAATTGTATGTTATTCCTTTAACCGTAACTCTAACTTCTATTTTCTTTCTACTTTTTCTCCATTCTCCTATTACTATCACTCCAATTTTATTAATCATTCATTTATTTATATATTCATTATATTCCCAATCTACACCTGATTTAGATATAGTACACTATTAATCATATATTTCCACCACGCAACTATGGCACAATTTTTAGTTACAACCAAATGCTGACCTTACCCCCATGTGATATCGGGCAAATTACCTGTAAGGAAATGATTGTTGAGGAAATAAGTGGCTACCGTATAATGATACCCATACCATTCATCTACAGTAATTGTTTTACATTCATCTTCTAGTTGTACGTAATAAACTTTTAACTCTGAATAAATAAGTAAATTCTATTCGAACATATATCATATCCGATAAACTGTTGATTTTGAATTCAAATCTATTTAAGTGAATTCTGAATCAAATATATATATTAGTTCAAACAGTTATCTTTTAAATGCTTTCGAA